GACAAATTATTATAAAGAAAGAATCAAGTAAAAAAAAGTGAAAAAAAAATCTTGTAGATTATAGATTTGATTACTTGTAAATCTTAGTCTTTTAACAATTGTGTCTAAAGGTTTTCCTAGAGTGCATTATGTTTTCCAAATTACCCTAGCATTACTTACTGTTAAGCTCATTATGTAAAATCATTATTTATTTTGTTTATTTTTTTTCCTATAAATTTTTCATATATCAGGCTACCTGGTTAGTTTAAATGATGACAGACTGGATAATGATACTTTTATCTAACATAATCACTGTAAAGGAATTTGATACATAGTTTATTAATTCCATAGTTTATAATAAGGTGGTTTATAATTTTCTCATAAGAAATCTTGTATTTTTCCTTAAAATATAAAATGTGTAGCTGGTCTGTATTGTCCCAATTCTTTATTTTGCTGTTTTATAAATTTTTCGTTTTCTAACCATGATAAATATCAGATGTATGCTTCTTTTATTGCAAAATTGCTAGTTTTTACTATAATTTGCTAATTTTTGTAGAAACATCTACAACCTTGTTATTGTGCAGTTGAAATGACTTACTAGCAAAGCATATATCTAATTTTTTTTTTGTTTGAGACATCTTTTAGTTGCAGTATAAAATCATTTATTTGTAGAGTACAAGTCGTAAATTTGAATATTGGATAGAAAGTAAGAAAAAAGTAAATATGAAATTTGTTTGCCTGTATGCAACTTATCTGAAAAAAACTACGTAACTCAAAAAACATCTTTACAAACAAATTGTTTGTGCCAATAATTGATTCATCTGAAAATTGAGTTCTTAACTTATTACTGATCAGTATAACCATATCCTTACTGTCACTATGTTTTTTGAATACCAAAGCTGAAATCGAACAAAAAAGGGTCTAAATTAGAATAATTGCAAACTTTTCTTTGAAAACACAAGCTCTTTTTTTTTTGGACAAACCTTGTGTACCAACAACACATCAAACTATTGAATAGGATTCAAGTAATATGATGTCAGATGATTATATAGATATTAACTGCAACTCACAACTTCACTGTTAAATGCTGTAACAAGGCCATGTAATGCTTTTTCTTTTCTTAAAAATTTAAATACCTTTAAAAAAAGGAGGGGCTAAAAATAGTAAGTAAACTCATGCTACTTGTGCAACCACTGGGAACTTTTATGTTTCTACACAAATTTTGCATTTAGCAGTATCCTCTTTCAAATCATCTAATAGGAATTACAAAAATAACTATAATGTGAATAATACTTGCCAGTAGTTTTCTGTAGCCACGTGTCAGTATTATACTGGTTTGCCCATAGCCTTATCTGTTAAAGTATAATTTTCAGTATTTGAAACATTTCCAAATACTCTTTAGTGTTGTAATGGGTATAAACACAATTGCTGTGTATAATGTAATATGTAGAAAAATATTAGAGAAAAATCATCTTTTAAAAACCATGGTAGTAATTTATTTATTTGGAAACATTTCAAGCAAACATTCTGTTTTCAAGTGAGAAACAAGCCTGTTGATTAATAAGAATTACAGAAATGTTTTTGCAGTGACCAGTATAAAAACAAGTGAATAATTTTAATGTTAAATTATTTGTGCAAATAGAAAAAGTGTAAAATAAGTTCCTTATATTTCACAAAAAATATAGATAACAGAAATAACAAATGAAATTTTTGATAAACATGTATTTGTATGTACATATAATGCTCTAAATTTTCACCCCCACTATTTGCTACGTGTGTTAAGTCTAAGAAAGAAAACTTTAACTACAATGGAATTTAAACACATGACACATGCAGTGCTGTAAATAAACTTAGATAGAAAATAATTTGAAGCCTTAAAATTATAGATATTGTTTGAATACAATGAATAGTAAACATTGTATAATTCTAAAACACACTTCGAACCTAATATTAAGTTATAACAGAAACTATCAAATATAAATGAAATGATATAAGCCTTTAAATGCATTACATGTAGTCAAGAAAATATTAGTAAAACATCCAAGTTTAGGAAACCATGAAAACGTTATGAAAGATATCTCATACTTGTACAAGTTATAGGGAAGAAAGTAGAAATTAATTTGGTTAAAGAATTTAACCCAAAATATGAGCATCCAGTTTGATGTTAAATTAAAGTATTTTTCAACTGGTTTCCCTTGAATGTATAGTATAATATAAATGCTATTTGTTGAACTAAAATAAAATGCTGAATAGATGTTTATAAAAATAGTTTGTGCGTAATAATTTTCCACTTTAATTTAAAACTTATGGAAAAATCAAATGGTGTAAGCTAAAGTAAGCTATTTTTATGAATGACATTATTTACTGCCATTAGACTAGTTTATAATGAAATTAGTTTAAATGTCTGTGTACTTAGTTTTGTGTGTGAAAGTTTGCCACAAGGAAAGATCTTAAATGCCTAACTTTAATGTCTACTGTAAGAAA